ACTCCATTCAATGAAGGCAGTCTCTGGGTAGTTCAGAATATTGAGAACTGGCTACATTGAGTCGGTACTCCTAAGTAAGCCAGAGACAATCACAAAATTATAGAATCAATCAAGGTTAGAAGAAAGCTTCAAGATGATCTAGTCCAACTGTCCACCCTGCAGCACCATATCACCTCTAAATCATATTTCCAAATGCCACATCCAGATACATGTTGAAATTCAGGAGGTGGTGTCTCTAACCACCATCTTCCCAAGCAACTCACTGCAATGCCTAATCAATCTTTGATTTAATTTTTTTTTTCTAGTTTCTCATCTGAACCTCCTCTGATGCAGCTTGAGTACATTTATTATAAGTGTACACAATGACTGCAGCCTATCTTCCTATGAGGGACATACTGGGCATTGAGTAGTAAATGTTATTTAAGCTAATAATTCTTTAGGCTTTGACCTTGCAACAGGCAAGAGGTCAAACTAAAAGACCTCTTCCTCAGCTTCCCTGTTTTATGAAGATACAGAAGCCAGATCAAGTTCGGAATTGATACAGCATTTCCCAGAACAAAGCTGGTGAAGGGCCTTGAGGGGAAGCCACACGAGAAGCAGCTGAGGTCACTTGGTCTGTTCAGCTTGAAGGAGACTGAAGTGAGACTTCAGTGAAGTCAACATCTTCCTCACAAAGGGAAACAGAGAGGCAAGCACTGATCTCTTCTCTCTGGTGACCAGTGACAAGACCTGAGGGAGTGGCCTGAAGCTGTGCTGGGAGGATTTATGTTGGATATTAGAAAAAGTTTTTTCACTCAGAGGGTGGTTAAGCACTGGAGCAGGCTTCCCAGAGAAGCTTAGTCACAGCTCAAGCCTGCCAGAGTTCAAGAAGCATTTGGACACTGCTCTCATGCACATGGTGTGATTCTTGGGATTGTCCTGTGCAGGGCCAGGAGTTGGACTTGGAAGATACTTGTGGGCCCTTCTAACTTAGGATATTCTATAATTCTATATTCTATATGCTGAAACAGAGTATCCAAGGGACATCTAGTTGTTTCTTTTTTGTCCAGACATAACAAGATTTCTTAAACAACACTATCTATTCTGAAGATAATTTCCTTGCTTTCTAATATCACGCCTTTTTTATTGTACACAATTCTGAAAGTCAAAACTTATTATTTCTTATAGTGCCACAGCATATATTTAATTCTGTTGAAAAACTGGATAACAGTTATTACCTTCTTTTTTTTTTTCAAAATGCTCCAATATTACTAAAAGCAAGTAATACCATGAGAAATTTTGAGGAGAAAATTCAACACTGAAACATGGATTAAGAAAAGTTTAATATACTACCTCAGGTAGGCTCGGACCCTGCATGCTCGAAACCAGCGCTGGATCTTGACTGCAGCTTTGTACTTTGTTTTTCTGTCTTCATCTATAGCTCTGAAAATATAAAAGTAGTAATACTTCTCAGCATGGTAATGTATGAAAAAAGCAAAAATATTATTCTATATATGTTTTATTGTTGCAGCTGGGGATTTTTATCACCAGGTTTTTCACTTTTAATTCTACATAATTCAGTGGTAGTGCAGAAAAGTATAATTTACATTAGGTGCATAGTATGAAGGTAACAAAGGATATTGTAGCTTGTAGAGGATGTAAGTTTTGGGAGTGGATATTTCTTATTCCCCTACAATACTTAGATACATGTCAGCATGTCACATGGACATCTTCCATTGTAGGAGAAAAATGTGCATAATGCTTTAATAATTAGGCCTGAGTTACAAAAAAATCACACAACTGTATAAAATTGCGAATCTACAGTGTTTGTGACAAAGCTAAAAGTCATGTTAGGAAAACATGAATCTAAAACAGATTAGAGGAAAATATTGTTAGTCTGCAGGAGACTTTACAGAGAGTTCAGGAAGAAATCATTACCATTATGAGTTTCATTGCTGAGGTATGAGATCACCTCTAGCTTTTATTCTTTTTTTGTTTGTTTCAAAATGTCAGTAACTGTCAAGTCTGTGACCTTAAATTTTAATTTCCATGGATTTTTATTCTTTCCCACTTTTATTAGGAACATATTCACCAAATTCTTTAATTTGTTATACCTGACAAAAAAATAATTATTAGGTCACTGTTAGTTTTCTTAATTAGCTCTCTTAATAAAGTTTTATGTCAACATTAATTGCCTCAGTAAATACCAACAAGATTATTGTTCATCTGATAAGTTAGGATTATCCTCATTATATTTCTGAAAATTAAATGAATTGCAGATTTACTACCAGAGATTAAGAAACATTAGCTCCACTCATTCTATATCATCTAGTGCAGCATGTGCTCTCAAATCACATTAAATGGGCACAAATTTTCACTATCTGACATGCATCAGAAATTCTCAGTGCCTGAAAACTCTGGGAAACAGGCTTTTTTACCTAAAATCACAAAATTAATAGTTTTCAAAACTGACTAGAGAGTTTTCTTGCTCCTTTCCTGTTCAGCTTCCCAGTCTTCACAGGAAGCAGACACATCTAGAATACTTTTACTTAGAGGAAAATTATTTTGATCAAAAGGCCATGAGCGATCTGGCCCTGGGCAGGCAGCCACAATTACAGCTTGGAAATGAAGGGGATGTGGGATTGGTTGTGTCAGAGGTGCAAGCTCCAAACCCAGCCCTACCCACCTGGCAATGACAAGAGTCTCCTAGAAGAGCAGAAGCCTTCTCCTTTCTTACTCCCTGATAGTCTGTTTTTTCTAGTTGGCATTTAGTTTGGCTTGGCCAGGATGGAATAGAAGTCCTTGTAGAGATTATTGAAGCAAACCAACAGACTTGTTTTTCTCATAGGATAGTTCCACAAACACTTTCAGCTGCCCTTGCCAGCAGAACTGTTTCAAAGTGTAAGTTTCTCAGGCAGGTATCTCCCCTTTTGATCAGATTGCACAGTAGTCATACTGATTGAATTAAGCTCTGAGGGTCAAAGATACTTCTAGAAGGCTGTACTGAAAGTTAAAAAGGCCTACTCAAGCACCTGACATACAGATACTACAGTAAATAAAAGTAGGTTCTTGAACAAGTAGAGTGATAAAACTGTGTAACACAATGAATTAATAGATCTTGTATATTCTAATCCTCATACTGAGGGTATTTCTCAAAATGCAGGAAATGCTTACAGTATTCTTGCACTGTGGTATCATTGGGCAAGTTCTTCCACAGAAAGGTGCTTTCCCTTAAAAGCCAGTTTAGGACACCTCATATCTCTCACATAAACAGAGTTCTGCATAAAGCACAACGGGAATGTTATTAAGAAAATAAAAATATGATTAAGACTTGTTGCTGCACTGGGCTCTTTGAATCCTCTCATTCGCATTCTGAACTGCAAATCTGAATTTTCTGAAACTGACAGATCATAGCTCATTCTTAGAAGGGAAACAATTCCTTTTTGGAGAGCCCTGCCAAAAAACAAATCCCCAAACATCAAACATGCTGCCCTCCGATGGATTTCCAAGTCTGGCTCAGGCTACTCTTTCTAACCTGAAATATGTGAAATACAAGCAGAGCCTCCTGTAACTGATGTTTGTTTAGTGAACTGCTGTGTGTACAGCCACAAGAGCATGAGTGAAAGTTCAGGCAAAGAACAGAAAAACACAACACTTTACATGCAGGCAGGACTTGATCTCTGTAACTTTTTGCAATGTTCAGGAGCTTTGCTATTCATGCTAATGATGATGTAATTAGATTCTAAAATAAATGATTCATTAATTAGTGAAGACAAAAATCACAACTATGCTAAACATGTTTGGTGTTTTTTTATGTCTGAGCTTTTGCATTACACATACAGCAACAGTGCAGCCGAATAAAAGGATTTATAGGACAAATCTCTGCAATATTTAAGCGAGTCTTACAACTTTAAATTTTCTAAAATCTGGTCTTGGAAAAGTTAGCCGCCTCCATTCTGGGAGTCAGAAAACTCTGCACAAACCATTCCAATTGGCGAGGACAAGGACAACATATCTGATCTGATCTCTTTCAATTAACTTTAAAAAAATTAAATAAAATTTAAAATAAAATAAAAAAGAAGTAGTGTCCTTGCAAGAGGACAAACATCAAGGCACAGCCACAGATGTGAGCCATGATAGCGGGGAGTCGGGGCTGGCGTGCCGCATCTTGAGGGATGCTCGGGGAATTACAGCGCCTCTAGGGCGGGACACAGGAGGCTCCAGAGGCGGGACCGGGGAGAGGTCGGCTCCCGATGGGGGCAGAGAGCGGAACTTGCGAGGCTCAAGCGCGTTTCAGGAGTTTCCAGAGGCTCCTTTCCCCTCTAAATTAGCAGGGGGGCGAGGGAAGAGCGGGACAGTCAGTATTTTCAGTGCATAAACAGGTCCCTTAAAGGCCCACCAGATCTCAGATCGCTGTGGCAAAGTTGGGGAACAAGGCGGTGGGTTGGTGCTCTCGGGAGGGATTTTAAAGCGAAAGTTTCACAGAATCGCATAACCACAGAGTGCCTCAGGTTGAAAGGGACCACAGTGGGTCATCTGGTCCAACCTCCCTGTTCAAGCAGGGTCATCCCAGAGCACAGGATTGTGTCTAAACGGCTCCTGAATATTTCCACTAAGGGAGACTCCACACTCTTTCTGGACAATCTGTTCCAGTGTTCGGTCACTGCACAGTAAAGTTCTTACTCATATTTAGATTGAACTTGCAGTATACCAGTTTCTACCCATTACCATTCGTCCTACTGCTCGGCACCACCGAGAAGAGCCTGGCCCATCCTCGTCACACCCTTCCTTCAGACACGGATGAGGTTCTCTTTCACTCTTCGCTTTCCGAGGCTGAACAGGCCCAGCTCCCTCAGCCTTTCCTCGTAAGAGGGATGCTCCAGTTCCTTAATCATCTTTACAGCCTTCCACAGGAGCTCCGTGTTTCTCTTGTACTGAGGAGCCCAGAACTGGACAGTTTCCAGGGGGGCTGCCTCCATCTCGTTGCCGGCGGAGAGCGGGGCTGGCCCACCTGTCCGCCCCAGCCCAGCGTAAGGCGGTGTATCCTGCCCCACCTCCAGTACGGCCCAAGTACCTGTTCGTAAGGAAATACTCCTCCCGGAGTCCCTCCAGCCTCTCCTGAAGCCGGGCCAGGGCGGCCATGCTTCCTCCTTCCTCCCGCCCTCAAGACGCTGCCGCCATGGCAACGGGACCGTCCCAGTGCGCCCGGGCGCGGGGGTGTCGCTGCTCCCGGCGGCCCCGCAGCCCGGCACGGGCAGCGCTCCGGGGGCAGCGGGAGCTCCGCGGAGCTGTACCGAACCCGAAGCGGGGGTGCCGAAGGGGACGCAGCGTTCCTAGNGTAAGCCCGGAGGTGACACACGTGCCCGCCGCCCCTGCCCGGCTGCGGGGCCGCTGCCTGCGGGAGGGGCCCGGACACCATCTCCGCGCCACGCGTGGGGCGTGGGAGCCTGGGGGCGAGTGGTGGCCCCCGGCCGGGCCTCCCCGCTGCTGCCCTTTTCGCTGGGGGGAAGGTGATGGAGCTCGCCCCAGGCCCCCGGGGGACGAGGGGCTGGAGGTCCGAGATGTACCACTGCCGTGTCTCGGAGGCTGGACGCGTTTATGAGCGAGAAGTGGGCTGGAGGAAGAAACTTCCACGTCTTGTTGAGAAAGGGACAGTAGGCGGAAGATAAATTAAAACTTTTGTCCCAAGCGTATTTAGGTTTTCCTGTCTGTGGTTTTCCAGTAGTGGCAGACTCTCTAAGGCCTAAAGCCCTTGCAGTGTGTGTAGCTGAACATCCAGTGATGTGTGTGTTTCCTGCTTTAAAGCTTTTCTGCTGCAAGAATCAACAAGTGCTGCTGTAGCCATCGAGCAGGGAAAGTATGGGTAGTTCTCCTGCAAAAAAAGTTCATAGATTTACTGTTTTATGTAATACCTTATGCTAGCATAGTGACCTCAAAGGCCACATTATTTTTATTGTAGTGCTGTAAGGAAGGGAGGCTGAGTAATAGAATAGAAAAGGTCAGTTCTGTTAGTAGGCCGTGGAGCTTTAAGGACTGGTAGTGGAGAGAGTTGATGGAAACAAGATGTTCCAAGCAACCAGCTGGGAAGCCATTAATTTTCTTTCTGAAATGTTGGGTATCTTGTGATATGTCTGGTATCAACTGGTGTGTGTAGCTTCCCACTTGTTTCACTTATTAATGGAAGCATGGAGGATTGTGATGGGGTTTTGTTTGTGGGGTTTTTTTCAAAAGTTCATAAACATCTTTTAGAGGCTATGTTAAATATACAGACACCTGCTGGTAGATTTCCCTGCTGAAATAGATTTGAAATAGATTTTCTTTCATCTTTTTCTTTGTTTCTTTTCTGGAGATGGGGAGGAAGAGGAATGGAAAGGTTTAGTGCTTTGTTTCTCCTCCACTTTTGCTGATACCATAATTTTTTCCCCTTGTGTGTATTTTTTCTCTACATTTTTCTAAATGAGAATACTCTCAAAAAGAGATTTTATTTGCCCAGCTGATAATTATTTGCTAGAACAAGTTTTCAGGTGTTGCTAGGCATCCACATTTGCCTGGTGTAAATATAACAACTTCTGTTGATATAATTCAGAATGTTTCAGAGAATGAGGTATACTCAGAGGCACAAGTGTTTTTATCTGAGTATTAATGCTGCATACAGTAAAAACATTGCCTCAGACATTCCCAACATGTATCTGTGTTCTGTCAAATACTTCACTATTTATTTGACCTGTTATTTGTCTTTTAATTTTAATATTTCATGTCTACATAAAATAATTTAGTTCCAGAGGCTTCTAGAGTAGCCCTCAGCAACATGAGGTGGAGGCATATTTTTCTGTAATTGTCATCAGACAGTAAAGATTTTGTTTATGCTAGTACACCACTCAGAGGAATTCAATACAGAGGAAAATACTGAAGTGTTGTCCATTAAAAATCTGACCACTCCTCAGAGCTGCTGTCTTATTCTTCTACACAAGTTATTTCAGAAGCTGTCTATTAAAGGAGGCCCGTTTGAGTGGGATGCAGGAAAATACTTTTTACAGTGTCTAATACTCGATGTAGAAAATTAAGAAGTTGTGCTTTCTAAAAACATTAAGATCCTAAACAGGTGATTAGGTTTAGAACTGGCACAGAGTAAAATTTTTCACTTTTTGGAGTGGTAAAGCTCCTCCAAAGTAGAATGTTTTTCATTTAAATTGTGAATTCATGTGACAATTTAAGAATAGTTTGCAGTTTGGATAATTGCTTGGCATTCTGATTCTTCTGATAATGACTCTGGTGCTTTAGCATATTACCATGATTTGATAGGTCACGTGATACTGCACCTTGACAATTAATTAATGAAGTCATACTTCTGAAAAGGGCAAGCATATCAGTAAATGGCAGCAATGGGATTGCAAGAATTGCCCTCTCTCATGACAAATTGCTCCAAATCTCATTTCTGGCTGACCAATTCATTTGTGTTAGAGCCTTGTTAAATGTAGTTCATGTCAGCATCTTTTTGACTGTATGCCATTGCTCTGTACTGAACACTTTTTCACAGATAAATGTGAGTAGACTGATAGTATTTATTGTTGTGCCTTCTTAGATAACCAGCAGTTTTAGGAAAGTCAGATGTACTTACTGCAAATTAGCCTGGTCCTAATTTTTAGGGGAATCAGCAATATAATAGGTGATAAAATTACATCATTCCTGAAATACTTTTTATTGTACAGGACAGAATTACAGAAATGCTCAGGCTGGAAGGAACCACAGTGGGTCATCTGGTCCAATCTCCCTGCTCAAGCAGGGTCATCCCAGAGCACATGGCACAGGATTGCATCCAGATGGGTCTTCAGTATCCCTGATGAGGGAGACTCCACACTCTCTCTCTCTGGTCAACCTGTTCCAGTGTTCACCTGCACAGTAAGGAGGTTCTTCCTCATGTCAGGAAAATCCCCAAATGCCAGAGTTTATGTCCAAAAAGGAGACAGGAGTCCTGCACCTTTATTCAAATAAAGAGAGAGAATCCACTGGGGCACACACCTGTGGTGTTTTCTCACTCAAGGTTTTGGAGGGCGCAGCCTCCTTTTATCCTGAGCTCCCGGCAGTACCTTGCCCTCTGCCTGGAGCCTGCTGCCCAAAGTTAGTAGAGACATAAAGACCTATTTCAAAGATGTTAACACCCACACCTTCACTCATCAAATCGTTTGTAAAGACATTAGCTTTCCTCTCAACCCCTCCTCTATTTCTCAATTTGTCTTTACAAACCCTAGTTAATATTAACTTAACCCTTTAACAATAAGGAACATTTGAAACACACCCTCCTGACATTTCTGATCCCTGCATCAGGTGTGGCAAATAAATACAGAGAATAAAGTAGACAGTGCACAGTTCCTGTTAGTCCATTAATCACTAGAGGTCCTTGTCCATGGCTGCTGATAGCCAAAGTCTCCCATCCTTTTCCTCTAGCTGAGAAGTCCAAACCTCCAGGGCATTAGAGACTTTGGCCTGAGTATGATGGGTCCAGCTGTCCTGGCTGCTGTCTCTGCAGTCCTGGTTGGAGGTTATGAACAACAAAGTCTGAAGGCAGCATCTGTGCTAACTGGGCTTCTTGTTCAAGGAACCCCAAAATTTATGATTGGAGGAATAAAATGTGGATAGTGAATGTATGCATTCAAATATATAGGATCTGCATATTTGATACAGAAGTTTGTAGACATTTCTATATACAGTGAAGTAACTGTCTTTAATTGAGGAACAGTCACTTCCATAATTTTTCATTTTTTTTCAAAATTCTCATATACTTTTAGTATTTTGTCAAACTTGTTTACGTACGTAACAGATGACAAAAAAAGACGAGTTGGCATACCTTGGAGATGGAAAATAGCCTGGATCTGGGAGTTGGTTTTCTCTTTTCATATATAGATGTGCTCCAGCATGATATCCTGGTTTGTCTCAAGTCTTTATCTATTATAACTGTCCATCCTATCTCATATGAAAGTCAAAACCATTCAGTTTCTCTAAGTGTCTCTTCTGATACTGTCACATGAAAATCACATTTTTATTAAGTCTCCTTGGCCTACAGGTCAGATTTACTTTGAACATGTTGCCAATGTGTTGGATCTTAGTCTTTACAAGAATGAGGATCCTCAGAAGGTGCAAAGTGTGGAGCTTTTTCGGAAGGTAGCTCTTACACCCTGCATTGATGGTTGATGTGGGATGGAAGGGACGGCTTGTGGTGTAGGTTTGCATACCTGTGGTTCAGCAGATAGTGCCAAATGACATAACTATGTGTGGATGTGGAACTGGAGGCTTTGTCCACCTCTTAGTGATGGCTTTTTAATGACAGGGAGTTTAGATAGTCTTGGCACAACTTCAGTTTCTGCTCATAGAATTGTTAAGTTTAGAAAGACCCTCTGAGGCAGAGTCTGACTTTATCCCAGCACTTCCACGTTCACCACTAAACTGGTGGTTTATTACCTGGTGCAACATCTACATGTTTTTTGAACACTTTCACCAGTGCTGCCACCACTTCTCTGGGCAGTTTGGTTCAATACCTGACCATTCTTTCCTAATATTTTTCTTCCTAATGAAGAATTTTTTCACGATATATATTTCTTCTAAACCCCCCCTGGTGCAGCTCAAGGCCATTTCCTCATCTTGTTACCTGGGAAGAAGGGAAACAAAAGCTTCTATGTAACAGAGGTTTATCAGTGATTTCCTGATCTAACATAATCTCTTGCTAGCTTTTTAATAATTTTTACTTATTTGTGTTGCTTTTTTTTGCTTCCCCCTTTGTGTGTCCCAAGAACCATGATAGTTCTCTTTTTTGAATCTGTAAATTGTGCAAGTAAGGCAGTGAGATTTATCATGTGCTGTTCTCACCCAAATAATTGCACCTCTTCAATCCAAATTTCAGTCACACTCACTAATAAAGCAGAGCTCTCCAAACAAGTGCTTCTAAGGCTTTGTGAAAATAACTTCTGAGGTGGAGAAATGGGATTCAAGTTAGTACCTGTCTGAAGATAAAGGTACTCTGTGGGTACAACTGTGTTACAAGACATCAGAGAATCCATATGGGAAAAGATTATAGGAATCAGGTTTTATAATCCCGATGTTGAAGGAACTATTTGATTTTGCTTTTGCTTTTAGCTTGTGATCAAGGTGGTTTGTGAAGGAAGTAAAACTCATGGTTCTTTTTGGAACTGATGAAGCACAAATGCAGCATAAATTTAGCTGCAAGATGCCCCAGTCCTATTTAACAGGAAAAGGTATAGAACTAGAAGATAAATGTAAATGCAGCTGTTGGCTTGGCAAGAGACAATGCCTCTTCTTAAGAGTTGTACAACTAAATTAACATCAGTGTGTGTTTGTTAAATATCTTGTGAGCAGTCAGAGCTCTATATTGTTATGTGCTTTAGGTGAGAGGTGAACAAAAATGATACTTAATTTTCACTGAAAAAGTGTCTGTTATTTCCATTAGGATTTTCAGTTTGAATATTAATACTGAACAGAAGCTGTGTGATTTGTTTTGGAGCAGGTGAAAGCAGTTATGCTGTTTCTTGCAAACAGGACTTATACGGTCTGTTCTGTTAAGGGTTAGAGAGGAAATGGATCAGCCTTTGGTGAACTACATTAAAATTGCTTCAGATAAATGTAAAGGTCAGTGTAGGCAAACTAGATGTTCTTGTAGTAAAGTAGGATCCTCTCCTAGTGAGGACATTACAGTTTATTGCTAGCTGTGGGCTGTTGCTGTAACAGCTTTTTTATAGCCTTATGTGAGTCATGCTAAACTGTGGCTCATCTTAATATTTTATGTACCTCAATATGTTGTTCTACATTCGTTGTTACAACCTTTGAAATTTCTTATCTTACTGAACACTGCTGATACTCACTGCTAATGTCCTTAATACTTCTTGTAGTTATTTTTCAACTTGTTTCAAATGCAAATATTTTTGTTACAGTTCCATCTGCAGCAATGATTAAAATTTCTTCATAGGTTTGGAACACAAGCTTGACAGCTGGTTGCAAACAATAGAGAGTTTCAAAACTGAGTTTGTCTGATAAATAATGCTATAATAGAGATATGCTCCTGAATTTTGAAGATAGAACAGTTAATCTGAAATCTATCTGGCTGCTGCTACCTTTGGGTTTTTTTTTCTTCAATTATGGCAGGAGAAATGAGAGCACCAATAAAATTAAGCAAAATAGTTTCTTTTCTTATTTTTTCAGGTTTTCAGGAGAAGGGGTTTTAATGTGGACCACTGACATGTTGAAAGTGCAGTGTGGATAGAAAGCTGAAGTGGTTTGTGTTTGTGTTCTCAATCTATTGCAAAGGAGCTTGCACTGTTCCAAACTGATCAAATAATTCTCATAATCATTTTGAAATAATTAAAATATTAATTTGTCTGATCTGCATAGGAGGTGATGCAGTTAATGATAGTTATATTATACATTGGACCATGGCTACAATTTTTAGGGCAAATAAGGTCACTGCCCTGTACAAATCTTTATTCAGGAGTTGCAATGAAGAGACTTGATATTCAGTAGAAAAGATTAATTGCAGGACTGCATAATATTCAAAGTCATAGTCTGCTGGAAATTAAGTCACATTACTTAGCTCAGAGTCATTTAAGTATCTTGTTATCCCTTTACTTCAAAAACACTTGAGGATGTTCACTTTTCTTGAGCCTTGTCTTTTGATCTGGCACCGTCTGTATTGCAGTATTTTGGGAGGAATTCAGGGCAGGTTTCATTCGGGTATAAAATTCAGAGCTGGATATATTGTATTTGATCTTGAAATATTTTGGAATTAAGGCAATTTTACCACTGTACTTGTGCCATTATCTGGAGTAAATTGGTATGTCCACTCTAGGAGCTACATTGATTTTAGTGATACAGTTACCCATACAGATTAGGGATACTGAATTGAAGGAATTAATCATAAACTATGGTGCAAGGCATTAGTGCTGTCTTCTCTTTCCCTTTTACTTTGTGCAGCAGGATCACTAAGAGAATGGGCTGCAAGAGATTTATGCAAGCTAGTTCATATTCTGGCAGGTTAGCAGAAATCTGTTCATTTGAAAAGCTAAATCTGAGTTTAAGCCTACAAATTCAAGTTTTGGTGATGTTTGCCCTAGATGCAAAAGTGTGTGGCAGGAAGGCCTGGGAAGGTGTTTGAGGGAATTGGTGTCTCAAATTAAGCGAAATGTGCTGCAGTTTGTCTGTTCAAGTGTTATGGCTTCTGTTAAATGAGTGCAGAAAAGCCCCTTACATCTCAAGGGCATCTCATTTCTGATACATGCACTTCTGGGGATGCCTGTCCTCATGGGAGTTTAACAGGAAGGCTAAAGGGGCGAGTGCCCTCCCACTGCAGCTATAACTGTGGAGAAACATGCATCTGCTTGATGCATCTGCTTAAGCATCTTGTGAACCAAATAGATTAAGGAGAAAGTGTAGCACTTTTCCAGAGGTGTCTTGCCATTTACAAGACGATATAATTCTGCGGTACTAAGAGCAAAAGAAAACATTAAGAGGGGGTAATATGACTAGAGGTTACATCAGGACAGAAAAAGAGGTATGGGAAATAAATGGAAGTGACACAGCAGTTTCAAGAATTCAAAATAAGCTTGTATTTCTACCACTTTCTGTGCTTTTATTGTTTTTGCAATTGAAATGTTTAGAGTAAGTATTTCTGAAAATGGTTTAAAAGGAGAATATAAAACTTCTTTAGGTAAGGTATTTCATTTGGATTTCTTCTTAATCATGTTCTTCAGTTCCTCCATTAATATTTAAGATTGCCCATTCAACCAGCACCATTAGGTACTTTTGATGTTGGAGTTTGTGCTAAGCGGCAGTGGGAAGCTGTCTGTGATCTGTCTAGGTTTTCTCCATGTCTCCAGCACTGACCATGTGTAGAAAACTTGTTATTATAGGTTTCTCCAGCTATTTATATTGTAAAAGAAAGTGAAGAGTTTTGCTTTTAAATGTCCTCTACATAATTTACTGAATGTACAACATCTTCCATATGTATCAGTTTGTGCTATGTAGTAGCAAGCATAAAAATTGTTCTTTGCTTTACCTCAAGGAAGGGGGTCTTCTGATGTTTTTATATGAGAGTCTGATTGCTGTGTTTATGGAGAAGGTTCACAGCCTTCAGAGAAGGATTAGAGTTCAGCAACAATCATTTAATGTTTTTGTAATTACGTTCATATAATGCATTGGTGAACTTACTGAAGCATATTGAGTTAAAGGCATGCTAAATGCTAGTGAAATTTGAAGAGGAAGGAGGAAAACATTTAAAAGGGAAAGGCCTTAATTTGACTCTGTGTGTTTAGGGATCTTTTTCCTTATGCAAGCATGGGATTCTGTGGATGCAAGTGCCTACATGTGGTAGGAAACTTCACACTTAATACTCTAGAATTATCTGTAGTTGGGTATTCTCTCAATATAACTGCACTGAATCAATTTTTTTTTTTTTATTGAATAGATATCAGCCATTTGGAAAGACAGAATTAGTTGCTATTAGGAAAAAAAGTCATATTATCCAAGAATTGCTGTCTTAAATTCATTTTGGCATTTAGACAGCATTAAGAGATAATCATCCTTAAAAATATTTTATCATAATGAAAGTCTTAAGCAGAACTCATTAATGTACATCAAGGAGAATATTATTTATTCCATTTCCCATTCCTAAATTTAAAATGTGCTCCTTACCTGCAGTTAGAGTGAATGCTCTTTGTTGATGCTCTTGCTATGCATCATCATATAAATGTGATGAGATTAATTAAAACCAAGCAATAACAGTGAGGCCAGAAACAAATGGGGGAACCTCCTGTCTCCTGTCTAAGTAACCTCCTTACTGTATTAAGTACTTTTTAATACTTTAAAAAGTATTGGGAAGATACTTTTTAAAAGGAACTTATTTATGCTGACGTGCTTCAAATTTTGTAGGACTGGTTGGCAAGGATTTTGTCTCTTGGTAGAAAGAGTCAATGGCCATCCTATAAAGATTATTCTACCTTGCCTAAAGGGGCTAAAATGATTTTGCCAAATGAAGTTGTTGTACTTAGCACTTAGCATTTGTTGCACTTACCACTTTTAATTCATTTGTTGTTTTCTTGTATTTTTTTTTCCTTTGAAATCTGTAGGCATTTCAGTAGGACTATGGAGGAGCTGGTTCATGATCTGGTCTCAGCACTGGAAGAAAGTTCAGAGCAAGCCAGAGGAGGTTTTGCTGATACTGGAGATCATTCTCGAAGCGTGTCTTGTCTTCTAAAGAGACAGGCAAGGAAAAGGAGGGGACGGAAAAGACGTTCATTTACCACCCATCATCCCTGGGAGACTGGTCACTGCCTAAGTGAAGGCTCCGATTCCAGTTTAGAGGAATCAAACAAAGACTACAGGGAGAATCATGCTACCAAGAAAGACCACAGTGATTCTGATGATCAGCTGTTGGTTGCTAAACGTAGGCCTTCCTCAAACTTGAATAACATCAGAGGCAAAAGACCTCTGTGGCATGAACCAGATTTGGCTGTGGACAGTTTGGGAAACAGAACTTTGCGGAGGAGGAGAAAGGTGAAACGCATGGCAATAGATCTGCCATCAGAAGTCTCTAATGCACTGACAATAACTCAACAGCAGGATAACAGCAGAGATCAAGAAATGGACAATAACAATAAATCATACCAGCACCAAGAGTTTTCCAAGAGCAAAGTGAAAAAAAGGAAAGTATCTGCAGCTCGGCAAGGTCCAGAAATCTTGGATGAAGGAGTAGTTATAGAAAATGAAGAAGTGAATCAAGCAAATAAGGACAAAATGGAATATGAGGAGCAAAAAGGCTCAGATGAGAACATGAGTGACAGGTTATTCTTTCCTTTTCTTTTTACAGAAACTTTGGATAATATTTGTTTGCTTTTATTACTGTTGCTTGTATTGGGAATCGTCAGATTTCTTGTTGATTCCAGAGATAAAATTCTAGCATCAATAGTATCTGTTTTAACAAATTACTCTTAGTTTTTTTACATCTACTGTTCTTTATGTATTAGTTGCCCAGGTTAAGGAATTCAGCAGAAAATAGAGAGTGATTTAGAAGAGGAATAACCAAGAAAACAGTTTTGTGAAATAATACGTTCTAGTTGTTTCAAGATTAAGAATGACAAAATGCACATACGAATAACATGGGTTTTTCTGGCTATTTCAACTGGTAACAGTTGTCAGATAAGAATTTAATGTTTTTCCAATTGCTAGTCATTCATGCTTTGATTGTTATCTCTATTCATCAGAAAGGTTGTCAGTGTTTAGAGTCACCATTTAGACAGTATGTTCTGGTGTGTCATGGACATAAAAAGTCTGCAGGTTGCCGAGGATATAGATCATTTACGAAATGCAAAAACCAATTTACAGTTCAGAAACACCTGAGCTTGCCATTAGAAAAATGGAGGAATGATGACCCTTTGGCAGTGCACCTCATCCATCCATTCCAGACAGCAGTCATACTGCAATGGTAATTGTTTCCAAAGTACTATTTTGACAACACAGTAAGGTGTAAGTCATTTTTCCACCATACACAAGGGATGTTAACTGCAGGGCCTGGTAAGCCTGGTTTTGTTTTATTCCACATGCCAGGTTCTGAATGCCAAAGTGTCAGCAAGACAATCACATCTTGTAAGATAAAATTTTGATCAGTTCCTTGATGGCACTGGGTTTCCTTGGTTTGTTTTTTTTTTGTAAGTATTTTATCTATTAACTGTTAAGCCTTTTCCTTACTGGACAGGTAGAATCAAGATGCAGAGAGTTGTTTTGACTAGAGCAGTCAGGTTGGTTACTGTAATAATAGCAGTGTTGGTAAGTGCCTACCTCCAGTTACAGTCAGAAAAGTCCTAAGTATTTTTGTTACATGCTAGCTCTGTCCCTCACTGGTGAACAAGGAGCAGCTGGAAGAGCTGAATAAATCCCAAGCCTTAAACATTTTTCCTTACATGTTAATTACTAGAACAGAACTCATCTTTCAGGGCAGCAGTGTAACTTTAAACATCTCCCTTTGACATGCAAGTTAGGAGTCTGTGCTGTCAGGAACCCTTTTAGAAAACTTCTCTTTTCTTTGATGATACTTTGAGTCTGTTCCAAGTCTGGGACCTGGGACCTAAAGATGTTTAAAAATTTCCTTCAAACTAGGAACCATTGCATAGTTTTTCATATCTCCATGGCCTTGTGTTTTTTATTTGTAAAAGACTTTCTGTTATGTTACAAGGGGAGCAGTTCTTCAACTCAAAAGTTCTGTAGCTAATTTTTGGGTGGAGAGAAGAGCGATCAATAAGGATATTCTCTTGTAGACTCCCAGAACTGGGAGCTAATCAGGTCAGTCTGAATCTTCTTTCTCAAAATAAACATTATTGTTTTAGATGTTGATTGTCCTCTTCAAAACACTTAATGTTTTGTTACCCCCAAGTACTTGAGCTGCTTTTGCTCAAGTCATACTCCAAATATTGTCTGTGGCCCCAGTAAAAAGTCTTTAAAACCATTCTCATCTTCATAGGGTTTTCTGCTCATGCACACAGTAGAGTGATGGCCTGTCATTCTACTGAATTTCTTTCAATGACCAGCTGTACCAGAAAGCTTGGAAATCACTGAATTAGAAAACTTACATTTCATTGTGTGTTTAGAAATATGTATCTAAGCATCTCAGGTGATACTGTGTCAGAATATTTTGTATGTGCATAATTTTAACTTGTTTTAATCTAACTTTAACTTTATTTAGATGCATTAGTGACTTTATTAGAGATCATTTAGCTAGAAGAATTTGAAAGGACCAACAAACTCCTTAAGAAGAGTATGTTCTGAAATAGAAAGCTTTTATTTTAAAAGTGAAGATGGGATTTTACAAGATACAAAGAGCTAACAAAGCATCTTGGGTAACACTTGCACTTCAGCAACACTTGCTGGAAGAGGAAGAATTGTGTGCAGTAGTATATTCAGTGCAATAGTTCAGTAATTCTTAAAAAAAAGACTAATTTTTTAGAAGTTTGTTTTTAAAAACAAAACAAAGCTGATAATTTTTAATTGCTTGGCTCTAAAGCCAGTCAGAAATTTTCAGTGTATACATGGCATTATTTGAAAATAACGTGGTTTTGAAGTGCACATTAAAAATGTTAAGTGAGACTTTTTTTGCAGGCTTTTGTCTGTGCATGTGAGTGTTCAAACACCAAACAGCAATAACCAGTTTTTAAGTGCATGATTCAGAAGTTGGAGGAGGAGTCTTCAAACTCCTGAAATGTCAGCATCTAAATGATCCCAAATATGAATTCCTAGGAGGATTGTTTTAAGCACTGGGAATGACATTTTTTTGATCAGGGCTTATCCATCCTTATCCTCAATGCACAGTTTTTGGTCAGTTTAAGCCAAATTCAGCAGCCTGTGATACTCTGGGTGCTATTTAATTCCCACAAGCTTTGTCACGTGTTTGTGCTGGAAGTCACTGAAGAGAGGTGAAATCTCAGTTGCCTGTTCTGAAAGAGTAGCAGCAGTGAAGCTCAGAGGCACCACCCATTGTGTCCATGGAGAAAAGACAAGCTGGTCAGGTCCTGGGGACAGCACAAAGCTCCCATGTGTCATACACAAAACCAAGGCACCAGACAGCTTGTTAGTCATAGGAACTGCGAATGACAAGTGTTGTTTTTTTCCGTAAGTGTAGAAATAAAGATGTGAAAGCTTTTTGGATAGCCTAGCTGTTGCTTCCAAATCTTTCTTGTGCACACTATTTTGTAGGACTAGAAGGAGTCTGTGGGTTTTTGCTTTTTCATGAAAGTCTTGTTGGGAGTGGAATTCTCATTACAAATCAAAGGAATTGCAATACGCTTCAAAATTATATTAAAACTGGAAATATACTCCATCATAGCAGCTTTCATGTACTTAGATATTAATGTATTCATTCCAGAGGTTTTGAATTTATTGAGTGAAATGACTGCCATATAGCAATTATCTCAACTGTAATCCTTGCCCAATGTGACTGTGGCCTGAGGAGAGTGAACACTGTGGCTGCCATGGCTAAACACGCTAAACATAGCTAACACATGCCAGTCTTAGTTTGAATTTTTGAATTTTTTTAAAATTTTTCAAATATTTCAAGTGGTTATGTTTTCATGTGCTGGATCCTTCAATGAGACTAACTAGTAGTAACTAACTAACTAGTCCTTCAATGAGAATTATTTCATAATTGAAATATTTTAAAAAGGGAAGGAGGCTGTTCTCAAAATTGGAAATTTTGGTAGAAAAGTGGCTGAAATATCAGGGTTGAAAGGATTTTCTGATGTTATAACATGCAATTAATAAATAAGCAAGAAGAATCTATGACGAAGGGATGTTTTTTCCTTTGAAATGGATGATGTAGAATTGTGCACAATGAAACCTATGGGACAGTAAAGCCATCTGTGTTATAATAAAAGTGAGGATGGGATGCTTGCTAAAAGGACTTGCAATATTAGAAAGTTCAAGGCTTGGTCTCCCTCACTAAGATGGTTCCATTCTCATTGCATGCACATCACCTTTCTTCTGCTTAGGGCAATTGTGTGAGTGCTTAAGTCTGTTTTGATTATATTATGTATATTATATTATGTATAAGATATAGTGTAAGTGCTGCTTATGCATCAAGAATTTGGATCAGCCTAAGATACAGCAAGGATTAAGACAATCTTCAAACACAGATATGTCTTATCTAGATATCTAGATATATATGTATATGCTTTTAAAAACCCAATCACTGCTTTGTGTCACCTGCTACCATATTGTGTTTCAAATCCTGTTGGGATGCCTCCTAAAGGAAGATAAAAACATATATATGCTTATAATTAAATACAAATTAGATTAATTTTATATAATTCATATACTCAAGTGAAATGCATAAAAAAAAGCAACTTTTGTGAGAAATTAGAATTTAAAAGGAAATAATTTTCTCATGTGTACTAGTTATTTGATAGAAAAATAAAAATAATTTATTATTAAAAATAAAAATAATTGAAAACAGTTGGTTTCAAGTATAGGACAGCATGCAAACTGTAATATGAATAAGTGCACAAAGGTAAATAGACATAAAGTTCTTGTGAGTGGCTTGTAGGAGCACATCAGGAGTAGCCATGGTATTTATAAAATGTACTTGAATTTGTGTGCTGAACTGAAGTGTTTGGTTTTTTTTAAAAAAATTGTTCCACATCTCAAAGTAAGTAAAATGTGATAAAATTTTGGTGAGAATATTACCTCCTTAACATAGCTACTTTCTTGATAAAAAGTGAAATAAGAGGTTTACAGAAAAGGCCTTTCATATGAAACTCAGCAGTGCAATTTGTGTTATTTAAAGGCCGGTCTGATTTACTGTTTAGAGACATATGCATTATTGTATGTAACACAATGTATATACAGCAAGGAGCTAAATACCAACTCATGTCTTTGAATTTAGAGATGTGTGTACATGTTGTATACACATGTTCTGATTTTAAGGCCATGCTGGAAATCTCAGAAAGGTAAACTTGGGTTTTTTGTTGTTGTTGTTGATGTTATGATCATGAATCATACTTGTTTTCATCAGGGTGACCTTTATTTTGATTTAATTTGCTACCTTTGTTATAAACTTTTTTTGTTCTCCCCGAGTAGTATGTCATGAAACCTTAGCCAGTATCTTTTCCAGAATATTTGCAAATGATGTTCAGAAATTCGATTTTCAGACTCTTATATTTCATGTGCTGAAGGAAGGCTTAGTCTGCTTTTGATTGAGATTTTTCCTATTTTACTGAGCAGTGCTGTTCCAAGATCAAGCTGAATTGCACAGCATAAGAAGGGAGCAGCGAGCATTTGATGGAAGCAGATAATAAAATGCATCAATTGTGTCAGCACCTCGTTGCAGTCACATCTGGCTTACTGTCAGGGTACCATTAGATTCCTATGGTTTTATGTGCCAAAAATAATACGCTTTGTAGTTAATGGAACTGGGATATTTGCAGTTTGATTAAAAAAAAATCATTCTATTTTCTCTCCGATCTCTGTTGGGCTTAAGTTCAATCTGAGCACAGCCTTGTCTCCTTAAAATTTTACGACTGAAAGATCAATTGTTCTTTTGATCTGTTTCTTTCTTTCTCTTATTACAGTGAATCCAGCAGTCTGAGCAGCAGTGATGCTGGTTTGTTTACCAATGATGAGGGAAGACAAGGTATTGAAACAATCTTTCCCTTCTCCACCCCTCAAACCACATCAGTTGAAATTCTGTAAGCGTTACAAGTTATTTCATAGGTTAATTATTGTATTTCAGTTTCTATTACAGTTTTACTAAGTGGAAATACAGCTTGCTTTCCTTTTTTTTTTTATGTTATCAGAGGGTGTCTTGACTTAGTCAAAAGCTATATTGAGAAACAGCCTCTGTAACATGAAAAAGTTACTTAAAACTTGAGCATCTCCTAAAAATCATCTATATTAATTGCTCAGTTCCTCCAATGTTCTGACATGACTTGAGCATCTCCTAAAAATCATCTATATTAATTGCTCAGTTCCTCCAATGTTCTGACATGACTCTGATTGTAGTACTGCAGCTCTTGAGGTGTTTTTTTTTCTTTCTTTTCCTCCAAACTGGTAAGGCAGGATTTTACAGTTAATTTTGATTCACAGATTTCTTTAAAAAGTAATTTCAAACTACTTTTTCTGCAGTGCAAGTCTGGGATTAGAGCTGTTTAACATTTCCCCTCTGAAAAAAAGTTTTTAATCTGAAATGCAGTGAAGATTAAAACTTTTCTTTTAGTATGAACAATGTTCACACGTGTGTTTCTGTGATAAAACTATTGAGGATGGAAGTAAAAGGTTGGTGTTTTTATCTGCTTTAGTCTTTGTTGCAACACATTTACCTATATTATGCTATGATGGAGTAGGAACTCACTATCTTTGACAGGATACAAAAATGAGACAAAAAATAGTCTCTCAGGTATTTAAGACTTGCTTTTCTGTTGGAAATTTTGAGTTGGAATTTAATGGTAATGGAGGGTATTTTCTTACACAGTTTACAAAAGGCTACTTGAGTATGTGCAAGAGAACAAATTCTGACCTATTCCACAAAACTAGGTTAAAGGAAAGTCTGGGTTTCTTTATCTTTTAATTTCTAATTCCACCTGTTTTTGTGAGGGTTGGGGTTATCTTCAGTAGGGAGAGGATTTTTCCTACTTAAACCAGAAGTGTTACCCTTCTTGTTCAAAGGTAACTTGTGCTACACAAACTGTACCTCCCAGCCTGAGTATCTGTTTTCAGTTGTGCTAACATGTTTTTTAAGAGTTAAGGTTTCCTTACAAAATTTCGATTGATTTAAGTTTTCTAATAATGCTGATAGTAATTTGTACTCTGCTTAAGTAAGGTGAGGTTGTCTCTGTGAGTTAATTTGTAGCTGAACTGGGACACATACAAAATTGACAGGAATGAAGGAAAGAGAAAGTCAATCTGATAGAAGCAAAGGGAAAGCCTAGGTATGATAAACAAAGCTGGAAGAGGACAGGATGAAAATGTATTAAGGGAAGAAATGGCTGGTTTTGTTTTGTAGTTTTAAATCTAGACTCTAGTTTCTGTCTTAGCAGTGTCCCTCCTCCAGGATATCTATATATCATCTCTATCTACATCTTTAACATCCATATATAGGTATATCTATGTTAAGAGCATCAGCATCTTGACCTCATTTATGGTTCAAATTTTCTGCACTTCTGACTTCAGGTTTCTGCTAAGTCAAGTGGAGAAACAGAGATTGATTAATGTTGCCTAGTGAAATACTTGGTTTAAATGATGTACCTGCCATCACTTAGAAGTTTGGGTAGCAGAGGACAAGAGGTTCCTGTTCTTCTGGGCAACCTTTGTTAGTTTTGTATTTCTGAACCACATCTCATTTATTGCAGAAAAATAGTATTTATAAAACTTGAATAAATTCCCAAAGCATATTCATCCTTTGGGATGCACATTCTAGACAGGAAAGTGAGTAAAGCAGAACTTTCTTGGAGCATTTGGCCAGTAAATTAAGTAGTTGAATATTTGTAAACTTTAGAATGCCTGATTTTGTGACCTTGAATATATTCCAAATTTTTTCAGAAAGGATATGGAAATAAATTCTGTTACAATACTTACTCTTCTGTGGACAGAATCTCAGAAGAGTTTCAATTTTTATAATTTGATTTAAGAAAACCAGGTGTAGCTTTGATTGGGATAGTTCTAGATACATTTTAATTCTCATCAATTGCTACGATAAAATTGTTGAGACTTGAAAGTCCTCTGTTCAGCTTCTAATATGCGCTGTACCATCTAACATTTTTTAAAACTTCTGTACTCTTTTCCTTTCCCTGTTCCAGTCTTACGGCTTTGTTTGATTTGTTTGGTTCCCATGAAGTCCTTGTCTGAGCCCAGCCTTGTTTGCCCTCCTTTTCCAAGTTATCCAAGTGCTAGCATTAGGTCATGTGAGAGGGCACAGACAGCACTCCTGCTGTGCTCTGTCCCACTCTGGTAATTCCTTCTGGCAGAAGTAATTGATGCTCAGTTTTGGCAGGCCCAGTGTGGCAAATGTTTTTATTCTGTGAAACATTGCAAACCCTGAAGAGTTAGTCAACAAAAGCTTAAAGATCATGGAAAATTATTAGTGACAGTACAGTCAGGGAAGAAGGTAGCTGCTAAACTATTTACAAACCTCAAGTGACTTTTTGTGGGTTTTGTTTTCTTCAGAGGTTTTCAAATTGGGTAGTTTGGGGGTAAGATGTAATAGTTAGGGAAAAACTCAAAATACTGTGATTCTGTCAAGCTCTTAAGTATGGAGCTAGGGAGACTGCCAACAAAGTAAGTGAAAGACATGAAGCTTATGGATGAGAAATCCTTATGACTTCCCTTTTTCTTCTTTTTTTTTGTTTTGTTCCAAGTAGTATTTTCTTGTTTTTCAATTATTAAAAACATTAATGATAAGCAGTATTATGCCTAGTGAAGGAAAATTTTACAATAATTTTGAACCAAAATGTCTAGCTTTGCATTGCAGCGTGAAATAACTCTGTGCTAGGCCTAACTAGTAGGGACTCCTGCAGTTTCAAGGCACTTCACTGGTCAAAGGCACTTTGCAAGTTAAGCTTTCAACAGTGTTAACAAAACTATTGTTATTCAGACACTACTGGAAGATACCCTGTTTTGGAGGAAGAAATAGTTAAATTGCAAGGATGTTCTATAATGAGCTTTAGAGCTTGGGTATAGCAAATAAAACATATTGTGTGTTCCTGGTTCATCTATACTTGTACACTTGGGGAAATTCAAAGTTGACTTAAGGCTTCTTAAATCAGGCATGCAGCACTTGAAATGTCCTTTAATATCTAAGCAAGTAGGAAGGAATATTACGTTAATAAAGTGTTAAACAGTTAAAATTGGAGAAGGTCAGGGAATGTCAGAGTTCCACTGTGGATGTGGCTAAGCATTTAAAGATAGCTGTTCATGATTTTACAATTAAACATATATTCATTACTGTGTCCTTTATGAAGATGACCCGGTACTGATTCAATAGAAGAATTCTAGTGAGGAACTAATTTGGGCCTTGCATAGCATGTCAGCAGCTGCAAGTGACAGGGTGTGTTTCTCCATATATAGAAGAGAAATGGAGTGAGCAAAGCAAACTGAAATCACACCAGGTTTGAACTCTTATGGTAAATAAATTATATAGTCTTTGCAAATGAAAAAGAAATAATATGAAGTTGTTGCATATGACCTGAATAGTTGAAATCCTAAATATTTATATATTCTTTATATGTATCTTTTGTCAAGGTAGCTCTGTAAAGTATAGAGAACAAGATGCAGTGTTCCTCTGTGAATGGGTGACTTCAGCTTCTGCTCTCCTGAAACTCCTGAGACGCATTACCTGACATCTCCAAATGATTATTGCAGCTGTCAGCAGTGGGGGTTTTTTACCTAGAAAGAGATACACTGGTGCTGGAAATGAGTCTGAATCCTGTGGTATTCACAGACCCTGTGCTCTTGCTCTCCATGTGTGGGTTGGTGGATAACAGAGCAGCACAGTATCACATGCTCTTTGTAGGACACTGATGCCAAACTTTTCACAGTAACCTCTCCAAGTATGTTGTGGTTGTTCTAGGCAGCTGCATGTACTGGCTGCTGTTGAGCCTGATCTGGTAAGTTTTTAATAAAACAGGAAGAGGGATAAAACTCTCTCTTAGTGTGCAGTGGAAAGTTTGTTTAAAACTGCACTGCTTTAGCTAAAGCAGGATTCACGTGAAGCTTTTCTGAACATAAAACTGATGTTGATGCAGAAGGTGTCTGTGTCCATAGAGAAACCACCAGAAGTTCACATAAAATAAATTTCTAAACTTCTTAGAGAGGAAGGCAAGGAATTTAACATGGAGCAGCAGCTAGATAAATATGTAGACAAAATAATACAGAGTGAAATTTAGGCTAAGGGGTGGGGGGGGATGGCCTAAAAATAGCTCAAAAAAAATAAATTAAGCCAGAAGTTGGCCTGGAAATTTTAGGATTGAAGTTGATGTTTCTGAGCGTTAAATTGACTCTATTGTACTCATCAGTGCAGTTATAATACAATGTAAATTACTTTGAAGTAATTCCTTGAAGCATTAACCTTACACATAAACAAGTTTGATGTATTTTAAAAATGTGTTTAGGAGGATGCATGGGCTCTATTTTTGGAGATCAGGAGGTTTTTCTACCTCTCCTGTACCTTGGAAAAATGTCATAATTTGCTGCAGGCCTGTGCTGAATCAGCATCCTAGGAGGAGAGGACAGTGTAGTGAATCTTTGGAAATCAAAAATATTGCTTTGAGCTTTCAGTATTCCTAAGATCACATTTGCTATGAATACTGTGCTGCCTTTTGAGAGCTGCAAATTAAGTAGGATAAAATCCAAGTGTTTGGTTACCAAACTCTTGAGTGGGGAGGCTCTGTGTTTTATTGCCTATATGTATGAGGTAGGGGATGGATTCAATGCAGTGGTCTTCCTTGGCTCTGAAAGTGGCATCCCTTCAGGGTGGAGCAGTTGGTAAGCAAAATGCCTGTGAGTGCTCTCACCTGGATAAGAATAGTAGTAATAGGCTTACCCTTGCCTCAAGGTGATAATATGATTTAAAATATTCAGAGGATCCAGAGTTGTTTAATTTCACAGACAAGGAAGATAACAAAACAAGTATATCTGGATCCTGCTGTCATGTGGAAAAAGACTAAGAGGTTCAGATCTGAAGTCTGCCTTTGGCTGTAAGCAACATAAGTGCTTAGGGAAGTGTATAATAGCATAAAAATTAAGGTATCTTAACAGATAATTGCTTAACATACTAATATTCCTGTTGCACAAAGAGGAAAAGTAGTTTCTTTTTTTTTTTTTTTCCCAAAAGGACTGCTGCTGGGTATATAGCAAAGATACCAGTTTCCTTCCATAGCTGCTCTTTGCCTTATTGCATATTCCACCAACTCAGTCTTATATTGTAGCTTTCTTCCAAGACTGCACTGCTTGCCTCTTACAGCTTCTGTCCCTGAACTCATCATGGAACCTCATTTCAGAATTCTCTGCTTACCTCCATGGATGAATTATGTGTAAGAAGACTACTTTTGAGCTCCTGATAGTATTTCTTGTTAGTAAAGGTGTCTGGAGCTCTCATGACAAAATAGAGAGACAAAGTTTAACAAACATAAAAATTGGGAGAGTGTTTCCAAACATAAAAGTTTGGAAAATCAAAACAAAGGATTTCAACCTTAACTCCAAACCAGAGACCAAACTAATTAAAAGGTGTGATTTTCCTTCCACCACCATCAGTGTCCCTATTAAGTATTCTTAGAGTTGCTCCAAAAAGCCCACACCTGGCTGTAACAAAAGGAGGATAGAATTAATGGTGAATGCCTTTGTGAAATGTCATAACTATAAATGAGGATTAGGGTGAATCAGGAGAGAAGGCCAAAATGCTTCAAGAATGCAAAGAAATTTAAATCTTATTTTGACCTATGTATCTCTTTTCACCCTTTTTTCCCCCTTCCTTCATCTAAAAGTTCCTGTTTTGTAGCCTCTGCTAATTTTCTTGTAGTAGTGATCATTAAAGATGTAAGGATCCCATTTCACCTGCAACTGACCAGTGAAGGGCTTTAATTATTCTATGTTTTCTAGAAGTACTTGTCCTTAATGAATGTTTACAGACATTTTTACTTGTGCTTGATCTCAAATATTCTTCATATTGCAACAGTTTATTTGGAAAAAGTGTGCTGGATTTTATTTTTCACAGAATTTTGGCTTTGGTTTTCCAAAATGTGTGTTTCTCCACTATGCCATTGAGTGACAACGAAATTTTGCATAAATGCTTTTTTATTCCTGAAATCTGTGTCACACAAACCTCACATTTGTTTCTTGCTTAATTTATCCTCAAATAAAAATGGAAATGTCAAACAAATAATTTATGTGCAGAAATAATGAAACATGGTTTTGATAGTTTGAAATAGAATAAAATATGCAGCATGTACCTAATCTAAGTTTTGGGTGGAAGAAAGGAAATTTCCCATGTCTTTTGCAGATATTTTCTGTTCTTTTGAAATTAGATGGTGTGTATGAAAGGACATGCTTTAAAACAAACATAAAAATTTATTTTTAGTTGCCAGTGTTTATGAGCTAATTTTAAGTTCAGTTTTTGTGTCTTATATTTTCAGTCTTGGCTTATTTCTTAGTTTAAATCCAAGTATTTAGATTCTACATAGATAAATACTGTCAGTAAAAATGACCAGCTTTGGGTTATAATGGAGTATAATTCTCAATCATGTGATACTGTCAGTTTTCATTTAAAATCAACTTTTTCAAAACTTATTTCTAAATGAACTTAATCAGATTAACTTCATTTAGTCACATCTGTTCATGATTGTTTTCCCCTTTTACTAGCCATACAAATCATGAAATTAAGCTAATTATATACCATTATCAGCTGCAAAGAACCAGTTTCAGTTTTATACCTTTTAATTCCCTGCAGGAGATTAAGGCTTGTTTTTTTGTTAATATGTAAAGTGCAGTAACTTAAATGGATTTCCCCACAGTTATTGCCAAAAGGATTAACTAGTTTATTATTGTTTTCACTATTGTAAATTGGTTTTAAAACATTACATTTTATGATGTTTCATTGATGGCAATGCTTGTCATGCTATTGAGAAACATTTTCCAAATAAAACTGCTATATAGGAGTAATTGTTATACAGCTATAAAGCAAAAGAATAATCCTGTCAGAGTATTTATTGATGGTAACATCTGATTTTTATCTTCTCTGCTCCTCCCTCTTTTTTGGGGGATTTGGGGACCCTGCCCTCACACAGGTGATGATGAACAGAGTGATTGGTTTCATGAAAACGAATCAGGTGGAGCATGTGGAATTACTGGCATCATTCCATGGTGGGAGCAAGAAGACTCCACAGAACTGGAGAGAGAATTGCCTGACCCAGTCTTTGAAAGTATCTTAACTGGTACTTTCCCTCTTATGTCCCGCTCAGGGAGGAGAGGTAAGTAGCAATCAAGCAAATGCAAGGTGTAGAATCACTCGGGTACAGTAGAAAGGTGTCTGTGGATTATATGAAATATGTAAGATATGGACAGGATCTTGGAGTTACCCATTTGTTTCCTTGAACTGTTAAATTTTTAAGATATCATTAGAGAGAAATAACTCAAAGTCAGTTATTAGAAAACTCAGAAAGTGGAAAACAGCTCATTTTGGTGGCCCACTCTTTTATTTGTCTCAGTGTTTGCATTGAGAATTTTTCAACATTATTGAAAATGAAACTTGATGTTCCATTTTGTTCCAGGCTTCTGCTGTAATGTATAGAATTCTGTAGAAGTTCATTAATTTAAAGGCTGGAAAGACTAATGTGACCATCTGCTTTGCTTTGTGGTCAGGCCATGTTGTTTGTATATAAGAGGAAAGGGTCTCTTTAGAGCATGGAATGAGATTGTAACCTAGAAAGTACCCTTTTTATTTCTAAAATACTTTCAACTACTGTGGATCCAGTGTAACCAAAGGTAAACTCTACTGGTGCTGGATTGCATTTACAGCTAGGAACCCACTCGTGTCCAAAAACTGAAGTTGTCAGACCTCAGCTTGCACCCAAAGAATTTTGTTGTACCTTCCTCTGCCACAAGGATCTCCTTTCCATTCAAATACAAATCTTCTATGTGAGCAGTGGTCAAATCACTTTTAAACTACTTCACACACTGAATGTACTGAATCCTTTTAGGTGGCTTATTCTCTAGATGCTTGGAATTGTTTTGAAGGACTTGGTGTCTGCAGATTAGCCAGATTCAATATTTCCTAGTGATAAGGAAGTTGTAAGTGATGGAAAAATCACTTTCATACTGTAGTTCAGTACGTTCTGCTTGTGCCGCCAACTGTGCATAAATCTAGGCTAGCAGTAAGAATAGCTGCTGAAATGTTAATTTTCATGACAATTCATTCTTTCTCTCACTTTTCCCATTCTGTTCTCCGAATTTCCACCAGTACAATGTTTGCCAATAAGATGGCTTTGTTGAACCGAGTTAATGTTGATAGATTGATATGTAATGGTGAATTTTATTGGTTCTATGGTAGGTAAAATATTCTTTAATCAATTTCTAATGTTTTTTAGGTTTCCAGAGTAGATGTAGTCATCTTCATGGAATGCCAGCAAGAAACATAAAAAAAGCTTCAGGAAACCAGAATGCTTTGGTAGGTGTTTTCATTTTTGTAAGCTCATGTGCACTTTTCTGAGAGGTTTTTAACACGGCGAATTCTTCTCATGCTTGTTCCCTGATACTGTAGATGGGTAAGGGAACTATAACACTTGGTGCTGCTGAGTGTGGCACTGCCTGTGTGTTTGCTCTTTTTGAATACTTTGACTCATCCCTCTGCAAAAGAAAGAGTCTGATTTGAAGTGAAGAATCTGTTTTGAAGTGATGGAAGGAAAAGGTTTTCGGTGCAGGTGTGTGTGTGTATAAGTTACCATTCTCAGTATATATTTTATGTCTATATGGAAACATATTTCACTTTTATGATGAAAATCAAACCAATTTATTTTCTGATAATAAAAGAATTTCAGGATGCATTGTGGTACAGTTCAGGTCACTTTTTATCCCAAAAATCTGCTTTGAAAAATACATCCTTGTTCTCTTACGTTTGGTTTACACCTGGTTAGGTGAAAAGGTTGTCTACAAAAAATATAAAGTAGGTTATCCATGCACCTGCCATAGACATCATGTATTTCTTTGGACTGAGCCTGTTCTAAGTGGAGCTACAACTGGGATGTTTGGGGTTTTTTAGTACCTACAGCCCTACGGGCAATGTTTATGAGTGGAGGAAAAAAATTCACCTGTCTTTGCATTTCTGTGTAGTCTAATCCTTGGATTGTCCCACAGTTTTTGTCTAAAGTAATTTTCTAATAGTTTTTTTTTCTTTTTAATTATTCTTTGGAGGAGGGCATAAATGAGAAGTTTGACTTTTTAAATTTAAATGCTAAAATATATTAATTATAGCTCAGTCTCTTCCTTTCTTATAAGAAAAATGTTTGAAGAGGAAGAGAATGTGGGAGATCCTTTTTCCAGTGTTATAAACATAGGCCAGGACAATAAATACTGGAACATGGATATTCTTTATTATTTGACATTAAGTGTTTTCAAATTTAAGTTGCCTAAACAACATAAGTTGCTTCTGAGAAATGCAAAAGTTATATGTGGACAGAATAGAAAGGAACTGCTAGAAATTTAACTTGTTTTGAAGAGGCAAGGTTTTTGTAATTGAAGTTCCTGTCCAATAATTGCCATTTGGAGCTGAATAAGATGCTTTAAAACCTTGGCCTGTGATCTCTGCTGTTAGTGGTCATGAATTAGATGAATGCTGTCTACTTCTTGGTTTCCTATCTACCTATTTTTATTTTTGGTTCAGTGCTTGCTTGAGCATATCTGGGATTTGTAGCCCATTTTCTAGGCTTATTGCAATTTCACTCTGGTATTTTATAGGAGCTATTATAACTGATAGGTTAGCTTCATGGTACTGATGATACATGGCTTAACTACCCTAAATCCTGCCTTTTCCTCTAAATTGTGAAAAGGTGATTAAATTTCAATTGATGAAGATATACTGTGAATGCATATATATAATAAAAAAAATCCTAATGTTTATTTTCTGCTACGCTTTCTGGATTGTCCTTAGGAGCCCATTTTGTCTTCCAGTCATGATATTCCATATATAATGATGGTACCTTTATAACAAAAATCCAGGCCAATCTACTAAAGACTGATAATTCAGTTTCCTCCAGTTATTAAATATATCATTTGCATGATGTTTTGGAAGAAGTTTGGCATGTGAATGTAGCTTCTGAGTCACTATGTTTATGCAGGAGTCACAGATAGAAGGGATGTGCTGTTTGCTCTGCAGATGCAGTTTTCTGACCTCCTTAATGACTATTTATGTTTGTGGGCACATCTGCTGCATCTGTCTTTGCAAACATGGCTATATAAACCCGAGCTCATGTGCTTCCTTTTGTCAGTGATTGCTTCTTAAAGAAAATCTTCTTTAGATACTTCAATCCAGTGACAAAAAAAAGTCATTTAATACCTGTGACATCTGATAACACAGAACAAGAAGTAATTACTGCTATTAGATGGTAACAGTGAAGAAGAGCAAGAATGCTTTTAGAAAGATTAATATCCTGAGAAAAGAACACTGCAGACTCAAGTTATTGAGCAGGATTGTGGTGTGGATGAATCCTTCTTTAACAGCAAGGAGTCTGATCGCTGCCTTTACACAGACCTGAAAGGGAGGCAATGTTAGGAAAAAAAAAAGAGAAATACACTACCTGAAAGACACACATTGTATCTTGTGTTCAGTCTAAGCATGTGTAATTTATATCTAGGGAATTTGAGCATACAGTTGGCCTTTTGCATACAGTCAAGGCTTAAGCTTTTTTGAAAAGCTTGGTTGAAGGTTCACAATTATAGCAGGCAGCAAAACCTGGGTGAGATCACAGGTTTGGGGAAGGCAGAATGAAGAGTTCTGATAATTCTTTGATACACCCTCATCCTCTCTCAGGTGTTTAATGCCCAACTGTTTGGGTATTTTCTTGTAAGAGAAATAACAGGCTGAGAGTGTGACTGTTGCTTGGTGTGGACCAAGGCCTGCTCACATCATGTTCACAGCAGAGTGGGAGCTGAGGATTAGAGGGAGAATGCTGCTCTTTATGGACCAGGTAGTAAACTTGAAGTAGTCACAGCTGGCACTTGCCTTCTCTCCTGAAGCTCTTCCTGTGTTTCATGGATGAGTTGCTTAATTTGAGCTAACTCATGGGTCTTTGTTTTATCAGGTGTACAGCCTTTGAGTCAAAACACTTCTTTACTAATCACACAATAGTGGACAAGAAAGAGACAAGTAAAAAGGTAGCATGCACTTACTTTGAAAATCCTTATCTAATCCAATGTGAAGATTGCATGAGTTATCATACAGCAGATGACAACTGAAAAGGCCAAGCAAGAAAATTAAAAAAAAAGTAAATATTCAATACAAGTGTCTTATAGCCTTTCAATTGTCCAGTTCATTTAAGATACAAGCACATTTCTAACGGAATCTGTAATTTAGTAGTTTGTCACATATATTTGTGTTAGAACAATAATGGTGGCTTTTCATATCTTCATTACTTTTGTCTTGTGACAGCATCGACTGTAACTATATTTGAAATGAAATAGAAAAGCATGTGGTTTCTGTAATACCATGCCAAGTTGATAGTAGTAGCTTTGTAGTTAAAATGAGGAAAATTACCCATTTGCTTTCATATTTAATGTACTCTTTAATAAGGTGTATATTGCGTGAAATCTTACTGTGGTTAAGTTGAATTGATTGAATTCTGAATATATATGACGTGATCAAGTAGTCCCAAGCCTCATGTTGCTTTATGTTAGGCAAAGGCAAAAGTCCTACAATTTAGAGGTAGTGTTCTATGAATAGAACACTCATTTCTTAGAAGGAAAGAACCTTTTTCTTCTGATCTTTGTATGTTTATATACTTGGCACTTACCTAGTGACATATAGTTTTTATACATGTCACTTTTCTAATACTCCGTCTGTGCTCTTTCTAGCAAATTGCATGTGCAGCTTTGTTATTTCATAGAATGAAATCTATTAAAGAAAATAAGAGTTAATTATAGACAGTGAAAACATAACATGACTATTTTCTTACTCTCTTCAAAATGTTTTGCCCAACTTAGTAATCAACTGAAAATTTTGACTTTTGTTCACTACTCCATACAAATAAGTGAAAATAGTTTTAATAAATTTTAAAAATGAGTGCTGCTGTTTTAGCTATTTCTTGTGTGGTTCTAGGCACTGTTTCTTCTCTGAGACAGAGAAACATTGCAGGGTTTTGTTTGAGAGCTCTTCTGTGTTGTCTCTTCCTGCCTGCTGAAAGCTGGTAAGTGATTTCACTGAGCTAAAGTGCAAAAAACATGACCAATAAAAAAGATGCTTTCTTTTGACTCTGACAATTTTTCCTTCCATCACCTTTGTGTCATGGGCTTTGGTTTCATTATATTAAAGACAGCTTGTATTAAGTGTTGCACTCCTAGACTGATTTGTTTTTTTGCACATCTGTACTACTGAGCTTGACTATAAACAGCTGTAATTATTCAAAATATACTTAAAGGATGAAAGCTGTATTTCCAGATGCTGTTATCTTTTCAGATTCACTGTCAAATCCTGTGACTTTTTTTCAAAAGTTCAAAGATAAAAGCTTTTCTCAAAGAATTCATTGGCAGATTAACAGTCTGTTGACATTAGGAGAAAAGATGCATTGAGCATTCATGCTGGTTAAACAGCTTTCAAAATGTAAAATCAAATCAAGCATTTCTGCTTCTAAATTCTTTCTAACTGAAGAATAGCTAGGTGTTTTCAGGAGCTTTTTTTTCCCTATCAAAATATTTTGTAAATGAAGTGTTACTGGCTAAGAAACCTTGCTATAGATCCAAGGAATATTTCCTTAAAGAATAATTTGGGCACTCTTCTTACAGTATTGGTCAGAATGCTCTTTGTGGATACTCTGAAACTTTTGGAAGAACATTGCTTCTCAAGATGTATTTGCTGGTTTGGAGAATTTGTTTACGTTAGATGAGTGGTATACAGTTGGATAAAATAATACAGTATCAGCAAAGTGCATGAAAGAATTTATCTGTGGTGTCTCTGTCTGTGAAAATGTGATGGTACTGGATTATAACAAAACTAAACTCTTGTTGGATTTTACACTTTGATTCATTCATGATGAGGAATATTAGGAGTCTGTCTGAGAGTAACACTTTGAAACCTTATGCTCCTAAAACTGCAAATGAATTTACCTTTAAATGAGAAGGGTAGGGTGGTTTTGGTTTTGTAATGTAAACCACTGTAATGGCTATTTTTTTCCACAAATTAATTTTCCAGTGCATTTTTGCTAAAGCTTTTACTTACACTGGTGCAAGCCTAATGTAACTTCCATCTGCCATGGGAAGCACCTGATGAAGGACTAAAGCTGCTTAGTGACTTTCATAATAGCTTAGCATACTTCCTCATTGAAAGGTTCCTAATTACACATGTATAATTTTTCATGGTAGGTCAGTTCTCAAAGTGGTTCTCATCACTAATAGCACCAGCAGTGGTATCCATATGTAAGGCACAGTTGCTTTGTATTTTGATTGTTCAAGACAGAGCAC